ATCACACAATTATCTTCTAACCGAGGCAATGTACTTGCAAACCACCTTTCGAAGCTCTCAGCGTTCATCTCTTCATGATAATCGCCGCTCTTTTTTGAGTCAAACATCCATAAACAATCTTCTACAAATCCTGTTTCACTCCCTATGTGGGTAATAATAAGTCTTTTTCCCTTGCCCGATGGATTTTTAAGACCTGTTGAAAAACCAGACAAAAATGCCTGCATGGAAGATTTCACCGTTTCGTCAACCCAAACATGGGATTTTGTGTGTCCTGAATTTACCCATGTTTCGTCTAAATAGTAAATTTTTCTATTTTGTTCCCGAAATTTTTTTATGGATTTTAAGAAATTTCGTCTCCACAAGATGATGTCGTCTCGATCTAACAAAGCACTATTTCTGCCCCTCCGTACGTATTTAAAATCAAGTGATTTGAGGAGTTTATAAAATGTAGTGCTTTTAAAATTCGGCAAGCTTTCGTCCTCATTAACAACTGAAAGAACTTTGTGTATAGTAGGTATTTCGTTTTTAAAAAAAAATTGATGCACAATTCGTCGTATGGCCGATTTATCGGCATCATCAATTTTGTCCAATATAGTTTTCCTGGGCTTAGTCTTTTTCGGGGAAGAAAATGTTCCGGTATTCTTCTGCTCTTTAAGAATTCTGTACACAGAAGCTTCACCTACGCCACAAGAAATAGCTGTCTGTTTCACTATTTCCGATACCAAAGCTTCTGGATGCGATTCTATTGTCGATGTATAAACATTATAAATAACACTTTTTTCAGTACTACTAAAAGGACGCATTTTTGATCGCTTTTTTGGTGTAACTTCCTCCGCAGAATCGGTAGAACTGGACATTTTAACTTAAAAATTAGAACGCACAAACTTGGACTTAATAAAACTAAAAAACTACTATTTTAAATTAAAAATTAGAACGCACAACTTTGAAAAGTCTTAATAAAACTAAAAAACTACCACATAAACTTTAAATTAGCAAACAAATAATTATTATAAACACAAATAGTTCATTTTTAGATCGAGATACAGAAATAAACGTTAACGCGAAACTACTCGACTGATACTGAATAGGGATGCGCGATGTTCATTGTTAAATGAAGACATTGACCACCAACGATCTTAAGTTTTAGGAAATACCATAAAATTATTATCTATAAAAATTCACAGAATGCTACATAAGAAATATTCAAATTAAAATACTTTTATTATGGTTAAGATATTGCCCTGTTGTTAAAAGATTATAGTTTATTATTATACCTGCAAACCTTTAAGGTAGGTATTACTTTAATGTTATTCAAATTCGCTAAGACTGGCCGGAACATCTTGTTTAGATTATTTCTATAGTATAGCATACTAAGAATTTCAAAAATAATCATTTTCCCTATCTTTTTTGAAAGCCGTTTTTAAACAATACAAATTGGGAAGTATTAAAGAATTACAAACGTATTAAAAATGATATTCAAACTTATTCATAGTAACAGAAATACAAGATAAATTGCGTTATCGAATTTATTTTTAGGTAAAGTGCATTTTGATATTTTTTTTAAATCAGACACTAACGTAGACAGAACATCACCGAAAACAAGTCCAGTCCTGAAACAATAGACCACGCCTACTTGTTTACGCTGGCTATCACGACTGAACGTAAGGACTTTAGTACCCGACCCGCTCATAATGTGTTAATATTATAACTCGAGGTTTTTGGGGTAACTGAACATGAATATCATGACGACGATGTTCTCTGATGCACCTACTCCTCGACTCTTTTGAAATTCGATACATCAGTGCAAACTCGTTACTAGGTGACTTTATGATATAGGCCAGCGATACTCAACCTTTTTTTCCCCTGGGCCGCATAGTAGCTATTGCCACAGCTTGCGGGCCACAATTTAGGTGAAGTAGTATAAATACATATATATATATATATATATATTATATATATATATATATATATATATATATATATATATATATATATATATATTTAAAATACTGATTTCAAAAATGTATAATTCAAAATTTCTGTCAAATGCTTTCTAAATGCATTTTAATTTAAAATTTAATTAAAAATTTTCCAAAAACGAATTCCATAATCCTCAGTACAGCACCATACAAAAAGAGAACATTGTGAAGTTGATGAAACATCAGTGCTTGAATTAAATGCTAAACTCCAATATTTACAATTCTTTAAGTCGTCGATGATATATGATTAAAAATATGTTTCGAAATATCTTCAATTCGCCTGACGCACGTGGAATCTGAGAGTTGTAGTTGTCTGATTTGTGATATTATCTGAGTTTTATTGCTGAACTTCTCAAATAAAATATTTGAAGCATTTATACAGCATTTCTTTCCAATCATAGCGTCAGTAAACGGCTTTATATGTTTTTCTAATAAATAGCAAATTTCGTAGGACGCTCTCGTCACTGATACATCTTGTGACATTGAAACTGCCATTATATTTTCCTGTTGCTGTAACGACCTTTTCAAGACGCATAGTTTTTCTCTTCGCAATGCAGAGCCGACTGGGAAACTATCGCTAAACATCTTGTGTTTTGTATTATAGTGTCTCATAATATTATACTTCTTTAATATAACACTCTCTTGACAAATTAAATAAATGGCTGAACCGTATTTATTAGTTACAACAAAATATTCATCTTCCCAATTATCTTCAAATAGTCTGTTTTCGTCAGATATTTGACGTTTTGATTTTGAGGACACGCCAGCCATTGTCACTGTTTTAAATTCCCGGCAAATCAATTATAATTAAAATTATTATAAGTAAAAGAAACACACTTCAATTGACAAAATTTGAAAAAGACGATACGTGTGTAAACGGAAGCGCTGAATGAAATTGATATGTTCATTCATATAATAATTAAACTGGTTCCAAATCCACATGAAATGCAAACATAGCATAACAATGTCGACTTCGGGAAATCCCCGGTTGAACACCATAGGGGCGGATCTTTTTATATTATAAATTAGACTTTGTTGATTAGAGAATTTTTAATAATATTTTTATAATGAATTACAAAAATATCAAAAATAATTGTATTTTTTAAAATTTTAAGATTTTATAAATATATATGCAGATAAAGTCAAAAATTCTTAGTTAGCCTTCGGGCCGCATAAAAAACGCTTAAGGGCCGCATGCGGCCCGCGGGCCGCAGGTTGAGTATCACTGATATAGGCGATAGTGTGTGAGGCACCTGGTTCACAGAACCGCCTCGGCTCCTTGAGTTTTGTGTAAAATCGATACCAAAAAAGGTGGGTGATTTTGTTATCGAATTTCTACAAAACTCCAGCGGGAAAGGCCAGTCCTGGACACCAGGAGCATCGGAGACCATCGCCGTCATGATATTCGTGTTCAGTGACCACCGAGTGGTAATATTGAACCCATTTCCGTCAATTATTTCCGAATGACAAATTTATGGTTTTTCATCCCGCCGAAACGCACTGGAAAATACATTTTCCTTGTCAAATAATGAAATTTTCCTTTTCACATCATCCTTTTTGTTCACAAAATTTCCTCGCACTCAAAGTTTCATTGAGATCCAACCTACTGCAAAATTTTGGTAAGTTTTGGACTTTTTTTACTGCTGCATTGCTCCATCTACACATGAAGTCATTACACCACCCCTACAAAACAAATTTCATAATTATCCTGTTTACCGCTTTGGAAATAAAGTATTCCATACATTTCCCTATATTGTATAGCATCTGTATTTTGATAGAAATATTTATTATTCCTTATACTGCTACTTTGAACTGAAATAATTGTTAAAAAGGAATGATATACAGTATAAATAAAAGGAATTGGTTTCAAGGGTTTTTAGAAGATAATATGATTTATATGAGCTCCATATAAAAGAAGCGAATCATCGAAAGGAGATATTGAGCTCAGTTCAAAAATTCTCCTAAAATGGACGCAGAATCAGTTTGAGGAGCATTACTGGTAGTTATGCTGAACTTCTGGTATGTATGTGCAAAAACAAAACATAAATGGATTAATATATTTATTAGAGGTAGATTTATTAATAAAGAAAATTACATTTTTCAAACAAATCTGAAACATAGTGATTGATACATTCAAGATACATCTGCACCAGCGTTACTAAAAATAGAATAACGAAGATAAATATAAAACAAATATTATTCAAATATGAAAAGTCACTATCAGTATATTATTAAAGCATAAACGAAAAATTAATACGAAAGAAATAACGATAATTTATTTTGTGATCACAAGAACATAAAATTACAAATCGATTAACAAATAATTGTATCGACAGAAAATTAAATAGTACGTCCTAGTTTTAATAAGATTATATTTATTATAAAATTTGGCGTATATGTGAAGTGTACAAAAAGTATTCAAATGTAAATTGTTTTACATTTTTTCTTTGTACTTTTTAACCATATACATGTAATAATCTTATTGAAATAGGATATTTCTTATTATGAGATAATACAAAAGCAAATTCAAATTTTGCTAAAAAATTATTATATTCTTCAACTTATTACTAATAACGTTAGTATATAAATTTCTATATTAATTGCACTTAGGATACATTATTCTTACTAATAAAGATTGCAACTACTTTTAGAAAACATGCAGTTACAATCTTATATGGAAGAACACTGACGAAAACTGGCCTTGGCCTAACAAACGTTAAACAAAAAAAAATAATAAAAACAAAAACTATCACACAGTGATTCTAATCTATTGCATAATTTGTTTTGTTTTCCATCCATACTGATCCTATAGCTGTAGGTAGATTAATTTCAAACATTGTTGATTTAGTTTTTTTTTTTCATATGAAACATTGATATAGTAGAGGCAAAAAATAATCTAATACAGCTCTGACCAGAACAATTTCCTTGAAAAATAAGTAGAGTTTTAACTAATGCTTAACTAGAAAGAATACTGGAACCAACCGACTTTATATGCACTACATACTGTGTTATATAACATACCTGTCACATATAACATACCAAACTTAACACACTCATACCAAACTCAGAAAGTTTTCTTCATAATTAATAGGACTGCAAAACAGAATGAAAACATCGTATCGTGACATCAGAGTCTGAAATCATTTTTTGTTTAATTGTCTTCTATAGACATAACCCATACAGGAAAATGAATAAATTCCTTATTTGCTTGTTTATATCCAGGCTTACTAAAAGCGACCAGTTATCCATACGCATTTATTTTTAGATGTTTGTCATTGTACGGAACTTTATAAACTCTACAAACAAGGAAATTGTTTATATCTTTCGAGAAATTCTAGCAAAAACTTTCTATGTTTATTTTCTGAAGCCCTGTTTTCTTAAAAATGTGGAGACTGTTTCAAGACACAACAAACATGCGCATTTAGAGACAACAGAGGCAATCATAAACACGATTGCGTCAATTTGGTCTTTGTGTTTTCTAAAAACGACGATATACTGATATTTGTAAAACCATATGAGGCAATTTTCCATAGGGTGAGATATATATCAAGAAACTGTATCAGGATAACATCTCTCGATATAACCTGTACTACGGTTTATAAAGGAAAATAGTTCCACATCTACAGTATTGTGAGAATTATTGCCGAATTTACTTTTTTTGCAGTTGGCAATGAAATAGCATGAAATATTTGGAATATTTGAAAGTAGTGACAAGTTATTATAGTCAATTTGCAGTGACATTTGCATCAATCTGCAGCTAGAGCAGTTTTGCCTTTTTTTAGAATTGTTTTTAAAGTTTGCAAAAAAAGAGACATGGGCCAATTGAGTTGAACACAAAAGGAAAATATAGAACAGAAATATAACAGTAAGGGATAAAGTTTGTTTAATAAAGAAAAGTAAAATTTTAGGAACAAGCCAAGAACTTTTTTAAGACTAGAGTTTTTATCCATATAAAATTCTTGTTGAACATATAAAATTTCAAAAACAATGGCGAAATATTAAAAAATAAAGAGTTAATGCAGAGACGAAAAGCTCTACTGGTATAAACAAACAAGCCAGAGCATGGCTAAATAATGTCATATGACGGTTCCACTATGCTCTTTAGTGAAAGTTTTTTAACTAGTAAAAATCAGGCACTATCGGAGGACATTTGTACATCAGGATCATTTTAGGTGGTCCCTATACTGCCCTGCTAAGGAAAAGGGCAGTATCTGCAAAATTTTCACTTTCGAGTTATATATGCAGATGTATGTTTTAAATAATGCTGAACCCATTGAAATAAATAGAAAAGCAGTATCTACAATGGTTATTGAGATATAGCATATATCATAAGCAGTAAGTACAAGGTAGAACTACCTATTTCTAAGCAAAAGAGCAGCAAATACAGTGTACCAATCAAGAAAGCAGTATCTGACTGCAGTTACTGCTTTTATCCTTAGCTTGATGTAGATACTGCCGATTTGCTTGGCATAGCCTCCCAGCTGTTTCAGGTTACTGCTGTCCTAGTGAGTTTGAGTTTATTCTTCTTATCGACAGTTGAGGTTATGTTTACAAACTGTTTTTTAAGTAATAGTTTATTGTCAATTTTGTATTATTAAAATGAGTAAAAGTTTTGTTTCTTCAAGAAGTAAAAGTATTTTTCAGTTAGGACTAGCACAAAGTATATCACATGAATCATGTACAAATAGTGAAACATTAATTGTAATGGAAAAAGTAAACGAAACGTCAGTGTCAACAGTATCAAATGAAGTAGACCCAGGAGCTAACAAAAAGGTACGATCAAATAATGTTTTTTTATGTGATAATGAATTGCAAATTTATAACGATGATGGACAGAGTATGGAGGTAGAAGTTATTTCTACATGGGCAGACAACAATGTGAATGAAAAAGAAATGACAACTACCACTACAACTCTACTTGATATGACAGAAATTTCTTTGGACCTGGAGCAGCTACAACAACTAACGAGTACTGCAAACCTTGATGAAATCATACCAAATGAGAATAATATTATTTTGGAGTTCAAGGATGATTTAGATATTAGCCATGATGATAAATTGTTAGATGTTAATAGAATAGTTGGTACCAGTCCAAGCGAACCAACTTCTTTGCACAATAATAGCATAAATCCATCTTTATTGCCAAAAGACGGTAACAGCAATTGTGTTGAACCATTAGAAAGTACTACAACTATTGAAGGTATGCAACGTAAGAGAAAGAAGAGAGAATTTACAGCTGTTGAACGTAGAAAGCTAAAATTAGAGAAAGACCAGAAATCTCATACCATTCAGCCTCCTTGTAATGAATGTAAATTTAAGTGTATAATGAAAATTAACGAAGAACGACGAAAGATTATTAATCAGTCTTTTTGGAATATTGAAGATTTAGAAGAACGGAGGAGCTTTATTTTTAATCAATGCGAAAGACGTAATGTTAAAAGGCGAACTACTAACAGTGGAAAGATTAGTAGAAACAAAACAGTAACATACTTTTTAACACATTCAAATGGTCAAAAGGAAAAAGTTTGCAAAACATTTTTTCTAACCACCTTAGGTTTTAACAAAAAAAATGATAAATTTCTGACCACAATATTTTCTACAGATAAGGATGCAATAACACCCAAAAAGAGCATGAGAGGCAGACAACCGTCAGTGAATAAGGGTCCTCACCAAGCTATAATCGATCACATTGAGACTTTTCATCCTGAAGTACCACACTACAGAAGAGAACATGCTCCCAAAACTAGATATTTACCAAATGATTTGAATGTTAAAGTTATGCACGGAGACTTTATTATCAAAAACCCACAATTTAAGTCAGGTGTTTCATATGAACTGTACAGACGTATCTTGAAGGAACAGAGAATTTCATTTGCAAGACTAGGCAATGAGGAGTGTGAGGTTTGTGAAAACTTTAATTTACACAACCATAATAAGGATAATTTGTTTGAAGACTGTGATGTTTGTAATAATTGGAAAATTCATGACAAACTAGTTAAAGAGAGCAGGACATTATACAAAGAATTTGCAGAGAAAGTTAACGAAACTAACAAAAACAATGAAGTTATATTTAGTGCAGATTTAGAAAAGATAATTATGCTACCTCGACTTGAAATGTTTAAGCAAATCATCTTTGCACCACGCCTAACAACATACAATCAGACATTTGCCCCTGTAGGGAAAAAGTCCAAGCTTAAACCACTAGCAGTTCTGTGGCACTGTGCTATATCTGGCAGAAATCAAGAAGATATTGCAAGTACTTTTAATGTATTTTTTAACCATTACCGTGATACTAAAAAGTTTGTGTTATGGTTAGACAATTGTAGTGCACAGAATAAAAATTGGTGTTTATTAACATTGTTTATTAAAATAGTAAACTCAACTGCAGTTGAAGCTACTGAAATTCAAGTTTACTACTTCGAGCCTGGGCACACCTTTATGAGTGCCGATAGTTTTCATCACCAGGTGGAACTGTCACTAAAAGCACGGAAAAAAACGTACGATTTTGATGATTTTGTTAATGCTGTAGGGGCTGCCAATAAAGGGCATGTTGATGTATTTAAAATGAGCGTTGATAACTTTTTTGTGTGGAAAAAATGGAAGTCTGAAGCGAAAATGAAAGCCAAGCCAGACAGACCTTATCTCAAAGATATTGTTCACATGAAGTTTGAAAGGGGTAAACACACCTTACAGTATAAAAGTACGTATGACAAATCAGAAGACTTCAAGGAGCTTGATTTCTTGCAACCGAGGATTTTGAAGACTGGGATACCAGAACCTACCAAACTAGTCTCACCCAAAAAATTCCCAAGGGAAAGGAAAGATCAATTACTTCAAGTGCTACAAAATATTATTCCAGAAAATAGAAAAGTATTCTGGGAGAGACTACCTACATGTTAAAGACAATTTTTTGAGAATTTTATATTTTTGTAATTTTTTTAGACCTGTAGCCTTAACTAGCTAATAAAATCTTGTTAAAAAAAGTGTAGTTACTGCTTTTGTTAATTTTTACATTGCTAAGGAAAAGAGCAGTAACTTGTACATACTGCCTTTTTGCTTGGCTTTTTTTAGTTCAAAAAATAAGTAAGTGATATTTCTTATTAAAAACTAATTTATTATATTGATTTTATTCTTTTAAAGCAAAGCTAGTATCACATATGACAATACAACAAAACAATATAAGGAAAATAATCCATTTTTAAGTATAATAATCCAATTTGAAACTTTACTTTCATTTATCTTAAAACAGATGTTTTGCAGATACTGCCCTTTTCCTTAGCAGGGCAGTATATACGTGCGCCATCTGGTGCAAACTTTTGTTACCAATCATAAAAAAGCGTTATCAAGTTTGACAACTCTCTGTTTTTTTATCAACCTGAATAAAATAATTATTGATTCCATGTCAAAATGTGATGAAGAAGTGATAAAAGTCGTATTAAAACAATTTATATCATATTCATCTCTTTTGTCTTCACATATCACTAACACGTTTCTACACAATACTGTAAATTAAAGAACTCTACCAATTAATGGATGAAAATGCAAACCATAAAATGAATTATTAATAAGAAATACCATAAATTATCCAATATGGATGAATAGTGATCTGCAAAAAACATACAAAAAATTTACTTTTTTTATTCTTACAGCCATCAAATGACCAAAAGTTCAAAAAATAATGACCAGCTGATATAAAGACTTAACTATAAACGTTAGAAGTCTTCAATGACACTATCCTCGATGTGGGGAATAAAGTGTCTTGCCTAGGAAAACGATTTCTCAATTATGATTTTTTATGTTCTGTTTTTGACCCTTTGTTTTTTTAAATTAAAATGAAAAAGACAAAACTTCAAACCATATCACTGATTTATATAGAAGAGGATACATGTGGTAGACTTGAATATCACACAAATCTTTAAAGATCTACTATGTAGACAAAGCAGAATAGGTAAGTGGCGAAGCATTATATTTTAGTTTAAAAGAAAAAGAGAAAGATGATTTTCATTGATTCAATATGTTCCGCCTCTTCTGCAGCAT